ATATATATATATATATATATATATATATGTTGTTTTTAAAGTGTTTATAAATAAAGTTGTATTGTATCTATCAGCACACCGTTCAAAAGCCTGCCTCTCTGATTGTATCGGGGTGCATTTGTGCGTCTCGCATGGGAAGTTTAAATGTTTGGAAAGAAGGCCTTACATATTTCAACAAGACAGTGTTTAACCTGGATTTACCTTTTTTTTTTTAGACATGTTGCTGCTATAAAATTCAATAATATATTTTCTTTCCTAAAAAATAATTTCTCAGTATAAAATTTGATATTTTAAATTTTTTAAATTATGAATAAAATAAAGGTTTATAAATGTTTCACATCAGTCCATTTTGATTTTACTTTACATTTTATACTAAATTCTAACCTTTTTTGGAATTTGCATCATAAAATCTGACCAAAGCTCTGAAACTATTATAAGAGTCTTACAAGCAAAAACTGAATCAAGAGCCAAAACAACCTCCATCAGTCATTAGACCGACAACACAAGTTTCCTTAAACATGCATGCACATATTTAAAACAATGCAACATTTACTGTGGTAATTAAAGATGGCATGTCTTACTTTCTGCATTGATTGACATTGTGTCTTTCTCCCAGGACACAACATTGATGTAGGCCTCCACTGAGGCAGGGATAATGCACTTGAAGACCGCCACATTGCCTCTCATGGCTTTTTGGTCCTCCACCCGGACAGTGTACGGCTCTCGTAAGACTGAGAGGAAGACAGAAAGGTGTGCAGTGTTTAAGCTGAGAAACTGTTAGAATGGAGCATTATGAAAACTGTCAAGAACAGAAAAAACCCAACTAACCAGCCTTGATGTGGACATCTTGGCTCCTGATTCTCCCTGAGGGGTTCTCCACTGTGCAATAGTAAGTGTTGTCGTGGATGAGTTTGCTGAAGCTGGAAGGGGGGATGTGGAAGATCTGAAGGGTGCCATTGGGGTGCACATGGCGAATCCCTGGCACATCATAGATCTCCTCACCGGTGGCCAGGTACCAGCGCAGTGAGACAGGGGGCACGCCTGCAGCGGGACAGGGCACTGATGTCCCTGTGGTGCTGGCAAACACTACCTCTTGCACAGATGCATTGACAAAATATAAGCTGGAACGTAGATCTTCACAGAAAACTGCAAGGAGAGAACAAGACCACAAAAATAAGTTGGTTTCTGCTTTCAAATAAAAACTGAAAGTTTAACAGCATTTTAATTAAGATAAAACCAAGCGCTGGTTTTGGTATCAACATGTAATACAGCCCAGTGATGCAAGGTACATAACTAGTATTTATGGAGTAAGTGCTTGGTATTCACCTGGTCCAAACCTTGTGCTTGGTATCTAGTTTGTACCAGGTACAAATCTTGTCGAGGTACACACCCAGTGCATGCCTGATACATACATATTTCATGGTATATACCTGGTTTGCACTAGATGCATAGCCTGTGAAAGAGCTAAAAGGACTACATGTTGTGTTGTTTGTGGTGGCACAGGTGTTCACATTTGTCCAACACTGCAGGTAAATCATGAGGGTTGTGGTCACATATCACTTAGATGAGCTGGGTAATTGCATCAGGTGCTGAGTTAGTTGGGTTACTTGCAAACTTTTCTGGTGACCGTCACTGGAGGCTCGTCAGTTTAGAAACGTCACTTTTGATCAATATCTTTGTCAATCAAACAGACAAACTTTAATGTGGATCCAAGTTGCTACAGCCTGTACTGGTTCTTTGGGGTTTATACTTATGGTAATCACCCTGTAAGTACTAGGTACACACCAGGTAGGAATCAACAATGTACATACCCAGTAAGTACAGAGAAGCAAGTCCCTTTATTACACAGACCAGTCCAACACAAACACGAATAAAACTCGGTTTTATAGCTTCTGTTCCTTCAAGGAGTCCTGGGCCTTTCTCTTTTTTCATTATGAGTAAAAATCTTAAGCATTACTGGGATTTTTCTTCAAAATACCATTTTTACTAGTCTAAATTTCATTATAATAACAGGTGCCAAGATAAACATCACCTTGTGTGATATTTAAAGCTAAAGGTCAAGTAACAAGCGCTGTTTAAAAACTGGACGTGCTATTTGAGTTACAATACTGCAGGAGCTCGTGCACCTACAGGATAGGGGAACTCTTTTGAGAAGCAAAATGTTTTGACGTTTGACTAAGAAGACAAAAGTTTGATAGGGAGGTGATGGAAGCCAGAACAAGAAAAAAAATCATCAGAAGAGGGCTCAGATGTCAACTTTCTCAAACTTACAGTAGTGCATAAAGCCTTACACCCAGTCCGTTTCACTCTGTGCATGGGATCACAACATCGAGACAGGCAAACAAAGACCCTAATGACCTTCAGGAAGAAAGGGGGTGAGATTAATCTGCGTTAGCTTGCTCAAGGAAGCATCTCGTGCAGTTTAAAGCTTGGTATTGCCCAGTCTTCAGTTTTCAAATACAGAAGTCCCACTGTTTGTTTATCTCGGGTTTTCAAAGTAAGGTTGGACATGACACCATTGGCTGATTGATGGATGAGCCATGGGTTGTTAATTTAAAATAAATTATTTTACATGATTTTGCACCAGGCAGCATGGTGGCGCAACTGGTAGAGCTGCTGCCTCTCTGCGAGAAGGTTGCCGGTTCAAATCCTGGTCTGGGCCTTTCTGGGTGGAGTTTGCATGTTCTCTCCGTGCATGCGTGGGTTTTCTCCGGGTACTCCAGTTTCCTCCCACAGACCAAAAACATGCATGTTAGACTGACTGGTAACTCTAAATTGTCCCTAGGTGTGAGTGAGAGAGTGAATGGTTGTTTGTCTCGTTTGTCTCTATGTGTCCCTGTGATGGACTGGAGACCTGTCCAGGGTGTCCCCCGCCCCTCGCACAGTGAATGCCGGACATGGGCACCAGCAACCCCCGTGACCCAAAATGGAATAAGCGGGTAAAGATAATGGATGGATTTTCATTTATCAGCTTTATCGTTTCTTCATGTCTCCTTCAACTGAAGACAAGGCCCAACGCCGGTGCTCTTCACTGACCTCTCCCTTTCTCTTTAAAATCCGTTTTAACTATCCCAAATCACGGTTTTGGATCGTTAAAAGCAGCTAAGCTGAGAAGCTAAGCTAACAGGCCGACCTCGGGAAAAACCTCCGTCTTGTCGAAGCTCCAACATCCACGGTTGAACCCCGTGCCTTCGTGTAAAAAGTTGTTTTTCTCTGCAAAAAGAAGCTGAGAACTTGTTTACTGATTTTTAATTAAAAGCTTTGTGTGAAAAATGCTAAAGAGCTCAAACCACACCGAGCGTCAGCCACTTTGAAAACCAAAAAACAACTACGAGAGACAGCCCATGTCACGTCAAGAGGCCGCCCTCCCATTTTTCTTAAAGAGACACGCTGCTGCTCCCTCGTCACGAATCCTTTGGTTTAAACAGTCTATACTGCCATCAAGTGGTCAAAAAAGGTACAACACAGAAATTAACTTACTTTTCTTCTTAAATTTGACAATAATTACTAATGTCGCATTTCAAACAATATTATTGTTCATCGCAATAATTTCTGAGACAATTAATTGCCCAGCAACATTTGTTATCGTGACAGGCCTAGTTGTGCTTACTGACCTCGAACCGATTTTATGTGTTACAACTGAACAACGTTCAAAGTTATTGGGAACGAGTTGAATAACGTTTGATTTATCTGACTGTTTTGTTTCGTTTAATGTGCCTTATAATCTGAAAAATACGGTACAGAAAAGAAATCCAGGATTCTTGGTTTTTTTTTTACATGTCCTAGATAACTAAGAATCTACATCAACATTTTCTAAATTAATTATTCAAAAGGCATACAAGTTTAAAACATATGCATGTATAAATAAGAAAACAGAAGTCATCAACCCATCTCATGAATGAATTAAACTATTTGTTAAGCTAAAGAAGCCCAAAATAAGCAGTAGTTATTAGAGGGGGGATAGAATCCCTGCAGAAAAAAAAGACCCCCCCCCCAAAAAAAAAAAAAAAATACAATTAAAGGTGAATCAGCATTAATTCTGAAAATGCCACATAATAAAAGATGTTGCATAATGTGCTCCATACACAATATGTGGTGAGGACAGTTCTCAGCTACTACCACACCAAATCTTAGACATTTTCCATGAAATTGGCTTGATCATGGCCATTTTTTCTAAAGTTAGTTGGGTGTGATGGCAAGCTTGAATGACATTTACATCCCCCAGACTTCTTGTTGTTCTTCTTGTTGTTCTTCTTGTTCTTGACCCTTTACCCAGGCTTGGGACTGACACAACAGATACACTGGCCTCTGCTCCCTCAGTTATAGATTTACATACAATAATTACTTTGTAAAAGCTTCTAAAAATGCATCCAGTTGTTCATGAAATATTTTGCTAACAAACAGACAGAGTTGAATACAATAGTTAAGGCAAAGTGTAAAACAACCTTCGTGTAGTCAGTTAGTGTTGCTGGGTCTCCGTCTCAGCTACTGCCACATAAAGCTTCAGAGACGGAGTAAGAGCCTTTTCATGTTGCTGCCGCGACCACAAGTTAAACAGCTGTACATTTAAACTGTGATTATTTTATGAATGGTTGATTTAAACATGTTCAGTGGTTCATGTGACATGTTGCTAATGTACAGACAAATTAACATACAGTACAAACATGGGCACAAAAAGCATTGCTCAGCATCCACCTCCCAGCAGGGCATAACCAGCATCAGTCACATCATGTAACCACTTCAGCCAGTTTAACTACATACTTCTGCTAATGTGGAACCCCTCCTCCTGTCACCAGTCTGCCAACCCCGCTGCCTGTGCGACAGCTGCCAATCCCCCCTCCCTCGAGACCAAACATTTTAGCGCTTCATAAATTCCTAATGAGCGTTCTGGAGTCAGCAGCCACTTCCACCCACTGGTTCTTCAACCTGTTACAACAAACACATGTTTGTCACATTTAGAGTGGGACTCACTTCACACATGCTGTACTCTGAGACCCGGACGTGTTGAAAGGTGAACGGCTGCGGTTGTCCACAGCTACGAGACTATGGTTTCATCTACAGGCAGAGAAAGCTTGGCTCAGGAGTGACCAAGCTGACAAGTCATGCCTTCATCACTTGTGAACAGCTTCTCATCCACTTGGTTGGGGATGACTCTAGGGCTGCAACAACGAATTGATAAAATCGATAAAAATCGATGATTAAAAGCGTTGGCAACAAATTTCATTATCAATTCGTTGTGTTGCGCGATTATGCATCTTACACGGCGATGCTGAGCCGTTTTATTCACCTGCAGAGTGTTGTCAATGCTGACTGACTGAATAAAGTTCGAAAAAAACAACAGCTCTGCAGCGTGAGTTGAACAGAGCGAGGGGGCGGGGGGGGGGGGGGGCAGAGGCTGTTTTCAAAGGAAATGAAATAAATTTTACAAATGACCGACTCAGAGAAAACTGTTCGACCCAAGTCCTCCAAAGTGTGGGAGCTCTTCACAAAGATAAAAACTGAGCAACATGCAGCTTTGAAAAGTGACGACACGACACGGGAGAACCACGGAGATAAACGTAAACATGTCGGAGTCACGAGGAGGAGGAAGGAGCTGCATCTGATACAACTCTTCATGTGTTGCAGGTGAGTCTCTACAATATTCACATTTGTTCACTTTCAAGAGAGAAAACGTAACGTCAGTCTCTCTGAAGATGAAGCTGTTTGTTTGTTTGTTTGTTTATCTGATTAATGACGGTGATAGAGAACGTGTGTTACTTTTTATTTAATTTAATTGGAACAAGCAGTGTTTAAATGTGATTTATAAATAAATCTAACACAAAGATAATAATTTAATGATTAAGCTTCAACTTTTAATTTGTTGGCAAAGTCTGAAGACACTGCATTGTATGGCAGGATGAATTGCATTTAAACAGGAATTAAAGTAATTTATTACTTCTACTCAAATGTGTGGAATTAAGTATTTTATGTGTGTGTGTGTGTGTGTGTGTGTGTTTAATTGCTCTTTTAGCTACTTTTGCCTGAACCTAACGCTGTAAGTGAAACAAGGCATGTCTTGAGTTACTGTAAATTATACTATAATACATATTTACTGTCTCATTCTAGAAAACAACAACAACAACAACATCCTTCATGATGGACAGACA